AATCTGTAGGTTCTCTCTTCACATTATTGATTGATTGCTGAGAAGAAGCTTTTTAATTTGAATCCATCTTTTTAAGGAAGTCAGATCCTAGGCCAACATAGTGAAAATTTGGACCTACTTTTTCTTCTCTGAGGTGCAGGGTCTCTGTTCTAGTGCCTAAGTTGTTGATCCACTTTGAGTTGATTTTTGTGCAGGAGAGAGATAGATGTTTAATTTCATTTTACTACATATGGGTTTCCAGTTTTGCCATCACCATTTGTCGATTAGACTATCTTTCCTTCAGTGAATGTTTTTGGCACCTTTGACTAGTCTGACATAACCATATTTATGTGGGTTTGGCTCTGTGTCCTCAAGTCTATTTTGGTGCCAAAATCATGCCATTTTTGTTTCTACAGCTCTGTAGTATAGTTTAAGGTCTGGTATTAGGATACCTCCTGCTTCACTCTTCTTGCTAAAGATTGCTTTATTCTGAATCTCTCATTTTTCCAAATAATTAAGTTTATGATTGCTTTTTCTATTTCTATTAAGAATGTTATTGTGATTTTAATAGGGATTACATTAAATCTGTGGGATGCTTTTGGTAGTATGGTCATTTTGACAATATTAATTCTGCATATCTAGGAGAACATGGGAGAACATTTCATCTTCTGAGATTTTCTTCAATTATTTTCTTTAGTATTCCTAGTTTTCATTGTAGAGGTCTTTCACCTCTTTTGTTAGATTGATTCCCAGTTTTTTTTTTTTAAACTATTGTGAATGGAGTACTTTTCCTGATTTCTCTTTCAGTGGATTCACCACTGATGTATAGAAATGTATTTAATTTATGGGTATTGATTTTATATCCTGCTATTTTGCTGAATTCATTTATTAGTTCTAGAGTTTTCTGGTGGAATTTTTTGGATCTTCTAGATATAGAATCATGTCATCAGCAAATAGTGATAGTTTTGAGTTCATTTTTATCTATTTGTATCCCTTTAATTTTTTTCTTTTGTGTAATTGCTCTGGTTAGAGTTTCAAGGATGATGTTGAATAGAAGTGGTGAATAAGGACATCCTTGTCTTGTTCCAGTTTTTAGCAGGAATGCTTTCAATTTTTCCTCCATTTAGAATGATGCTGGCCTTGGGTTTAGCATATATACCATTTACAATGTTGAGATATGTTCCTATTATCCAAGGTTTCCTAGTGTTTTGAACTTGTAGGTGTGCTGTATTTTGTCAAATGCTTTTTCTGCATATATTGAGATCATAATATGATTCTTGTTTCTAAGTCTAGTAATATGATGAATTACGTTAATTGATTTCCATATGTTGAATCAACCCTGCATTTCTGGGATGAACCCCACTTGATCGTGGTGCACTCTTTTTTATATTTTTATGCAATTTGACAGAATTTTATTGAAAACTTTTGATTCTATGCTCATCAGAGATATTGGTCTGAAGTTTTCTTTCCTTGATATGTCTTTGTCTGGTTTTGGTATCAGGGTAATATTAGCCTCATAGAATGAGTTTGGAAGGGTTCCTTCCTTTTCTGTTTCATGGAATACATTGAGGAGTATTGGTGATAATTCTTCTTTGAAAGTCTTGTAGAACTCAGCTGAGAATCCATGTGGTCCTGGGCTTTACTTGGTTGGTAGGCTTTTGATGGCATTTTCTATTTCATTACTTGAAATTGATCTGTTTAAATCATGTATGACATCCTATTCAGTTTGAGTCTCTAGAAATTTGTCAATGTCTTCAATATTTTCTATTTTATTGGAATAGAAATTTTCACAATAGTTTCTAATTATCTTCTGTATTTCAGACATGTCCACTATAATATTTCTTCTTCATCTTGGATTTTAGCAATTTGAGTTTTCTCTCTTTTTTTCTTCATTAGCATGGCTGGAGTTTATCTATATTATTTTTTCAAAGAACACACTTTTTCTTTTGTCGATTTTTTCAATTGTTTCTTTTGTTTCTATTTCATTGATTTCAACTCTGGTTTTAATTATTTTCTGCCATCTACTGCTTTTAGTGATGATTTGTTCTTCTTTTTCTAGGGCTTTGAGATGTAGTGTTAAGGTATTTATTTGTTGAGTTTTTACTCTTTTAATGAATGTACTGAATGCAATAAACTTTTCTCTTAGTACTGCCCTCATAGCATCCTAGAGATTTTGATATGTTGTATCATTATTCTCATTTACCTCTAAGAATTCTTTTATTTCATTCTTGATTTCTTCTACTATCCATCCATACATATCCATTCAATAGTTTATAATTTAGTCTCCATTTGTTATAGTAGCTTGTATTTTTTATTTTATCATTGCTTTATAATTTCATTCCTTTGTAGTTTGATAGAATGCAGGGTATTATCTCTGTCTTTTTGTATTCACTAAGAGTTGGCATAAAATATCGTCTATTTTAGAGAGGGAGCCATGTGCTGCTGAGAAGAAAGTATATTCGCTCATTAGTGGATGAAATATTTGGTATATGTCTGTTAAGTCTGAATTATTGATTGTATTATTTAGTTCTATAGTTTCCTTATTTTTTGTTTGGAATATCTATCCAATAGTGAGAGAGTTTTGTTAAAGTCACCCCGTATTATTGAGTTGTGGTCTATTTAACTCTTGAAATTGAGAAGGGCTTATTTGATGTGCATAGATGCTCCATTGTTTGGGGCGTAAATATTTATAATTGTTATGTCCTGCTTATATATACTTCCCTTAAGAAGTATGAAATGTCCTTATCTGTCTCTTCAGATTAACTTTGATTTGAAGTCCACTATATCTGAAAATTGAAACCCCTGCTAGTTTACGCAATCCATATGAGTGATAAGTTTTTTCCAATTCTTTCACCTTCAGCCTGTGGATGTCTTTGCCCATGAGGTGAGTCTCTTGAAGACCGCATATTGTTGGGTCTTGCTTTTTAATCCAATTTGCCATTCTATATCTTTTGATTCATGTTTAAGCCGTTAATAATCACGGTTATTATTGAGATATGATTTGTATTCCCTGACATTTTGATTTATTTCTGGTTTTTAATTTGACTTAAGTTCCTCCTTTGGTTGACTATTCCTTTAGTGTTTTCACTTTTTATTTTCACTTCATCCTCATGGAATATTTTGTTGACAAAGTTCTGTAGTATAGGCTTTCTAGCTGTGAATTCTTTTCATTTTTGTTTATCATGGAAGGTTTTAACTTCATCTTTAAATCTGAAACTTAACTTTGCTGGACATACAATTCTTGAATGGCATCCATTTTCTTTCAGAGCTTGAAATATATTATTCCAGGACCTCCTAACTTTGAGGGTCTGGGTTGAGAATTCAGCCAAGATCCAAAATGCTTTCCCCCATAGGTAATTTGATTTTTTTCTCTCATGGCCTTTAAGATTTTATCTTTATTCTCTGTGTTAGTCATTCTCATTATAATGTTTTGTGGTGTGAGTCTGCTGTAATTTTGTACATTTGGGGTCCTATAAGCCTCTTGTATTTGATTTTTCCATTCCATTCTTTAGGTTTTGGAAATTTTCTGCTATTATATCATTGAAAAGAATGTGCATTCCTTTGGTTTTTATCTCTGCTCCTTCATTTATTCTAATAAATCTTAAATTTGGACTTTTCATTTTATTCCATAATTCTTGGATGTTCTATTTATGGTTTCTTACCATTTTCTCTGCCTGGTCAACTCTACCTTCAAGAATATATATTTTGTCTTCATTGTAGTCTGTTGCTGAAGCTTTCTATTGAATTTACAATTTGGCTTAGTGATTCCTTCAGTTCGAGGATTTCTGCTTGTTTTTTTTTTTTTTTCCACAATCTCTAACTCTTTATTGAAGTGATCTTTTACTGTCTATATCTTTTCTTTAATTCCACTCCTTATACTATCCTTTATTTCACAGATCAATTGAATTATGTACATTCTGAACTCCTTGGACATTTTTCTACTGTGTTGCTTCTGTTGTTGGTTTGTTTGGGGTGCTTTAATCCCTCGTATTTTCATGTTGTTCATGTGTTTTCCCATCTAGAAGTGTGGATCTAAGGCAGCACAAATCCTACCCTGTAGACCTATAGTATCCCTGAAATGTTTTCAGTGCCTTGCCAATAAGAATAGCACCTGGTGTACAAAATATAGAGACTTAAACCTAATAGCTCCCATTAAGACATCTACTGCTTTCTTGCATTGAACCAAAAATGATGAGTTCAATAACTATCTATAGCATAAACAGAAAATTTGTTAAAACGGTTTACAATTTCAAATGGTGGATGAGAGAATAGAACTACCATAGTATAGGATGTTCACAAGGGAAGAAGAGAGAACCTAGAAGCAAAAATTCACAGGAAGAGTGAAAGAGGGGCCAACAGAGATTGGCTCTTGGTCAGGGAAAAGTTGGAAAGAAAAATCTTAAGAAAACAGACAAGAGTGAGCAAGAATACAAAGAAAAAAATTTAAACATAAGAATACAATAAAAATGCAAAACACCATTCATATATCATTGTCCTCCACACACTGATGCATAAAAAACATCCTATTCCAAATATGGTAGAGATATTAGCAAATTGAAAAATAAGATAAATCTTGCTGGAGAGTCGACCTGTCTTCATCATTGTTCAAAATTTCTCAGCCCTGTTTCTGATGTCTCTTGGGATTGCCAGACCCAGATCAGCCCTTGAAGACCCATTCACTATCCCACCAATCTGGGTTCAGATACTTCAGGCTCAGCCATGCTGCAGTCCCAAGATCTCAATGTGCTCCTACTTGCAGAGAGACCACCAGGGATACACTCATGCAAAGGAGCAAACCCAAGATGCAGCAGCAAGACAAGGGTCACCAGCACTCCGAGCAGAAAGACCCCAAGCACCTATAAACATGCAGGCACCCCCACACTGGACCTGCATGTCCCAGCCAGAGTCCCGAGATAGAGGCTCTTGTGGTGGTAAACTTGCTAGCACCCAGGCTCTGGCTGGTGTCCTAAAATGGATGCAGCCACATGCAATCTGGAGTCTCCCCCACAGCAGTCCTCTACACAGTGGTAGCAGTGGTAGTGGTGGTGATTGTTGGCAGCAGGAAGCAAGTCAGCAGCAGCGGTGGCAGTAGCGTTGCAGGCGGCAGCTGACTGGACAAGAGACCTCCATTCATCAGCGGCAGTGAACTCAGAGGTAGCCACAGAGGTAGCCCTGGCCCTGCTCAGAGAAAAGACCTCTGGGCATGGCAGCGGCATCTGTGTCAGTGGTGTCATTATTTGTATTCTTGATGACTGCCATTCTGACTCATGGGAGATGAAATCTCAGTGTAGTTTTGATTTGCATTTCCCTAATTGCTAATGATGTTGAATATTTTTTCATATATTTGTTGGCCATTTGTATCTCTTCTTTTGTGAAGTATCTGTTTAATTCACTTGTCCATTTATTAATTGGGTTATTTGTGAGTTTTGGTATAAAGTTTTTTGAGTTCTTTATGTATTCTAGATATTAATCGTCTGACAAAAGTGTAGCTAGCAAATATTTTCTCCCACATTGTAGGTACTCTCTTCATATTCCTAATCATTTTCTTTGCTGTGCAGAAGCTTTTTAAAAAATATTTTTTTAGTTGTTGATAGACAACTGAGAATTGAACCCAGTGCCTCACATGTGCTAGGCAATCACTCTACTGCTGAGCAACAACTCTAGCCCTGTGCATAAGCTTTTTAATTTGATGCCATCCCATTTATTAACTCTTGGTATGATTACATGAACTTTAGGGGTCACATTGACAAAATTATTGCCTATGCCTGTATGCTGGAGTGTTGACAGTATGTCTTCTTCTAAGAGTTGCATAGTTTCTGATCTAATTCTTAAATCTTTGATCGATTTTGATTTGATTTTTTATGCAGAGTGAGAGATAAGAGCCCAGTCTTATTCTTCTACACACAGATAGCCTTTTTAAACAAATGGTGCTGGGAAAACTGGTTATCTTTTCTCCAATATGTATTTTTGGCACTTTTGTCAAGGATCAGATGACTGTAGATATGTGAGTTTGTCTCTGTGTCATCTATTCTGTACCATTGGTCTATGTGTCTGTTTTTATGCCACTACCATGCCGCTTTTGTTACTATAGCTGTCTGGTATAATTTGAAATCAGGTATTGGGATATCTCCAGCATTTTCTTTTTGACTTGGAATTGCTTTTGCTGTTCTGGTTCTTTGATTTTTCCAAATGAATTATAGGACTAGAAAATAATTATCATTGTTCTTTACTTTTGCTAAGGTACCAATCACTGTGCTAGGCATTCATATGTATTAGCTATTTATTTTCACACTACTGGCTATTATTCTGTGAGCGCTTAAGTCAAAAGAGCTTTGTAAACAACAACAAAAAAAATAGAATGAAAAATATCCAAATATATCATATATATTAAGTATTATTTTAGGAAATATGTATTTTCACACAAAATAACATATATCTTATTTTGGGTCACATCTAAAAACATTTTAAAGACATTATATCTTATTTAATCCTTACAATTCAAATCAACCCATGAGGTAGGTAGGTATGGGGTGTGTGGGTGTGTGTGTTTAATGGTACTAGGGATTAAACCCACAGGGGCACATTGCCACTGAGCTACATACCCAGCCCATTTTTTTTTAAATAGCATCTCACTAAATTGCTGATACTGGCCTTGAACTTGTGAATATCCTGCCTCAGCCCCCAGAGTCCCCACAATTATAGGCATATACCATCATGCCCAGCTATACAGTTCATAATAAGGAAACTGAGGTTTAGAGAAATCATGTAATTTGTTCAAAGCCAAATGGCTATATGACAGCCAAGAATAGCCTCTTATCTTTATAAGATAGTTATGTTGCCTTTTGCTACTACTCTGCCTCTCTTTCACTGATTATTTTCCCATAGCCTAGATTTCAAAGGGTCTCCAGTCCATCTTTGAACCTATTTAATCTTTTAATCTCCAAATTCTCACTATGGAATACTACCTACCTATAACATGGCTCAAACTATTTTCTATATGCTGGTAACTCCTAAATTTCTATGTCTGACTAAAATGTAATTCTTTAGCAGCAAACAACCAAATGACAGCTAAATTTCTCTATCTAAATGTATTAAAAGCATCACAATCTCACTAGTTGCAAATCCTGTACTCATTTCCATACATATTCTCTCTATTCTAATTTGCTTACAAAAAATTCTAGCATCTTTCATCTTCCTCATCCATGAAGCAACCCTCATATCTTAAATACACTCTTCACAATATTACCACCATGACCTTCACTTGGGTTGATAAGGTTTGCATATGATTTGTCCCCAAAGGTTCATGTATTGGAAGCTTGGGCTCCAGTGCGGCAAAGTGAGAGATAGTAAAACTTTTAGATAGTGGGATGCATTGGGGGGACTGCCTTCAAAAGGAATAAAAATAATTCTTGTGGGAAACCCAGCTAGTTTTCATGAGAAGGTCGTTATAAAAGAGAAAAGACCCCTTTCCTGCTTTCTCCATTCCTGTTTCACCATATGATCTTTCCCTTTTAAATGTAGCTCCAGTGTAATACCATCAGTCATATCACGAACCCACACAAGGGGCCCTCATTAGAGACCAAATCAATGAGGCTAGCCAATCTTAGACTTTCACCCCCAAAACTGTGAGCTAAATAAACCCCTTTTCCTAATATATTACTCAGCTTCAGATATGATGTTATAGCAACTGAAAACTGACTCAAAGAGAAGTAATCACACTTTTTCTACTGAATAATAAAAATATGATCTTCCTATGTCCTATCATGTGCTCCCTTCCAAATGTCCAATTCACTCTCATCATATTAATTTTTTTTGCAAATGATTTTTTAAATGAAATCTAATTATTTAGGGAAAATTCTCCCAAGAGGTCAAAGTTTTAAGCTCCAAATGTCATAAATATTTTAATGTTTTTAAAGAGGATTTTGGATATTTTAAAGCAATACTTTAAATAAAACTTACCTGATACTTAAATGACTTTCATTTAACTTAAATAAATGAGTAAAAGACCAAGATCTGAAGTTCTTTAGTTGCTGTTACAGTTTGTTCAAAGACACTAAGGTAAGCTTATACAAAGATATTCTATGACAATCACAAATGTCTTGAAATCAAAAAGCACATGTTTTCCAACCAATAAATAGTAACTACAAAAACTAAACCTATACCTTAAGGCTAATGAAATAGTTTATTATTTGTGCTTTCACAAAGAGCTGATTAGAAACCATCAGGTAACAGAAAAACACTATTTCTAAATATGCTTAAAAATGACAATAAACTGTCATTTGCACTGGTTTCTGACTAAAAATGCTGTACCTTTCCATGTTAACATCAGATTATGTAAGATATGTCCATTGTGAAACAGTCCGTTATGTATATAGATTAATGGCTATGACATGACTGAGCTTTTCAATCTATATTTTGAAATAAACTGTTGAAACTGTTGCCTTTGCAAAGGCTTTTGGGAAGAATGTCTAACTAGTAGTCATGAGGCTAGGATCAAAATTATTATATACTATAGGATACTATCTAGTTCAAACTAACAAAGAAATCATGCTGAATTACTTCCTTTCTCTAAAATATAGATATTTTTCATACCTATAGTTGAAAACAAAACCAACGATGCTTAAAAGCACTGCTTTTTTTTCTTTCAGTGAACAGGATTAAGTATAATATTTTCTCTTTGTGCTTTGTGTTGATTCTTCGTTTTCTCACATAAAAGAGAAAAATGTTAGTGGTCAAAAGAAAATTTCTTTTTTCCCTCCTAATTAATCCTAATTCAAGAAATATAATGAATCCTTTGGCTATTTTACTCGTAAATACATATTTGAAAGTTTAAAAAACTGCTTCAAGTAGTACATGAGACAAGATTTTCTACCAAATTTTCATGATCCTACTTGGCCTGCATTGATCGTGATAGACAATACCCTAAAGTACAGTCATGACAAAAGAATGCTTAATGATAAGATAACTTAACAAGGAGGCAGCAACACCCAAAAGAATGTTCACTGGGATGGTACAAAGAGCCTTCTTTCAAAGGGTCTTCAAAATATGTGCATCCTGAGTTATACCCTAATTCCTAAAAGACTACAGCAAGTACTTTATGGCTATACTGCTGCAAGCCAGCTGGCTAAAAAGTGTAACAGAACTAGAGCTCTCTCTCACACACTACCTTTCCCCAGCTCAAGCCTGTGAGGTGATCTCAGAATTCCATTTGCACAATCTTTTTTTTTTTCCTCATGTATGGATTAAAAGCTATTAAAAGCTATTCAAGAGTAAAATATTTCATTTCACATTTGGTTAACCATAGTTTTCAACACCAAAAACATCGTGTTGCTTTTTAAATAAACTTGCAATATAACCACCATAGCCAAGGAACATACTCGGAAAATACTCAAGGAACTATTTCTTCCAGTTCTTTCTTTAAAAAAAAAATAAAACTGGTACATTTTTTCTGTTTTGAAAGGGGTCTCATTTCAATTTTTCCCATTTATATATTTGGATAAAACCATAAGTTGGCTCTTCAAACATACAATTTTTCTCTTATACTCTTGCCAAAAAAGGTTACAATAAAAGGAGTCTTGGGGTCAATATCATGATATTTAAGTATTCAATTTTATGCAATTAAATTGAAAATAATTATTAACAATTGAATAAATGTGTCCACAAATATCTGTACTTATAATAAAATTTAATTAAGAATAAAATATTCCAATGCATTTGGACTAGCTAAATGCTATTGTATAATGTTTGTTCATTCCAAACACAAGTTAGAGTTCAGAAAAACATATAACATTGTTTTGTTTGGTTATAATACTTTGTAAATGGTTTTATTTTACCATTCATCAAACCTCTTTTGTTGAGTTATTCAAACTAACTTTTGCCAAGAACACTAAGAATTTGGTGATAGTGCTTCTTTTAGAAGAAAAACAACCCCTTTCCTCAGAAAATTGAAAGTGTTTATCTTGGCACTTAAACCTTGCATTGAGCCTTCTGGAAAGTATTTTAAACTGTTGTTTTTAACCCAGACTTTATGACTGAAACAGGAAAAGGTTCTGTAGCTCTGCACCAAAACACATATTTATAGGGTTGATTTTCTTTCTACACCAAAAATACGAGGTTGATGGCAGCAACTTTCAAAATGTAATTTCCTAGAACCATGCTACAAATTGGTCATTTATCAGTGAATTCAACACATGATTTGTTTTAAAACCTCAAAACCATCTTATGACAAAGAAATACCAAACATTAAAGCATATATGTTGTCTTTCAGTGTCACAGTTTCATTTAAATGCCTGTTCTCGTACGTATTTTGACAAAAAGAAAATTTATTTGATGTTGTTCTTTCCTCCTGTGCATGTCAACAAGAGTCAAATTTCTAACTTTGCAATTCTTATAATTTCATTTTTCCCAGCAGGTATGCTATATCTTCAGACTATGCAAATAAACATATAAAAATAAACTATGTGAACTTTCTATAGCATTTCCCTACTAATACATGTGAATACAATCATAAATTGTTTGTAAACTAATGGAATAAAACAGTCATTGTTCCTAAACCTCCGAACCTACTCGTAAGTCAAAAATATAAGAAAGGGACCATAGTCTGCATATGGTATAATAGTCCAGTGTAACAGTATAGCATATATGAAGATACAGTAAAAATAATAAACAGATTAGAACTTTTCCAGCTAGAGGTGGGAGAGCACCTGCCTAGCCTCCACAAGGCCCTACATTCACCGCAGCACTAAGGGGAAAAAAATTCAGAGACAACCAGATAGCTCCAATAATTTTTTCAGTTACTAGTAACTGATATAAAATACTATGTATCCCATTACCAATCCTTTGCAAGTCAAATCCTCCCAACTTTGAATGTTTATACCTTTTCCTCTAACACACTGGCTGTCTCTTTACCAAAATAAAAACAACATCATCATCATTTTGTACTTACATATAACATTTTCAAAATCAAAGTAATTTTGAATTATGTCATCGGGATTCATCAAATATATATTGATCAAATATAAGATGTTCTGGTAAGAAACCAGTGGTTGAAAAATGTTGGCAGGCTCAAATATTTCATTATTTTTAAAGAAAAGATAAATATATCTACCAAATATATGATTAAAACCCATAACTGCCTTTGTTAATTAAGTATAAATTATAAACTTAAAAGCCTGGGGATTTTTGCTGTGGTTGAACACTGCATAGATCCAAGAAAATCAAAAAAGATTTATTTAAATAAGGGAGAGATAAATGGGAATTAACTGGTATCACTGAAGATGAAGGTTGTGATTAAGGAGTAGACTCACTCTAATCAAAAATTATATTTCATATTGCTATGGTTATACAAAGATGACAGATAGTCTTCTTATTAGCATTCATAACTTGAAACACTCTGACACTCCTCCCACAGTCCTAAGATTTCTAGTCCTCAGAGTTCCAATTAAAGTACAACTTTAAACTTAGAGACAAATTTAATATTTATAGAGTATGATTAATGTGTTAAAGTACCTTCGCAGAAGGCTTAGCTAGAACCCTACTGCCACTTTTTTCCCATTTAAATTTAAAATATTGATTGCTAGAACCCTACTGTCACTTTTTTCTCATTTAAATATAAAATATTGATTGTTTTTATAAGGAAAGTGAAGAATATCTAAAAGCAAACAAAAATTCATTTATTGGGATTTGAGTACTAATTAATTGACATATTCTATTTTCTAAGATGAGCCTACATGGAGAATGGGGGGAAAAACAAAATCTTTCTTCCCCCGCTTCTCTTTTATCAGTCAAAACGGAGTAGGTATTTATCCATTACCAGCCCTGGGAAAAAAGGTCACTTGTGGGGGCCAATTTTTTAGGGCCTATTTTGAGTTTCATGGTTGACAAAAACATTACAAAGCCATACTATTTTTGGTATTAAAATAAATATATATAACACAACATACCTGAAAAAGAACATGTACATGGCTGCTGTTATGCAGAACAAAAGGACCTACAATAAGGAGAAAATAGATTAGTTGCAAAAGAACACTGACATCATCATTTGTGTGACTTAGAAAAAGAAAATATCCATTATTAAAATTTGTGCCTGAAACAATAAAATGATATATAAAACTAGTCATGCATATGTTATACTCTCAATCTTTCAAATAAACTATATTAAGACAATAATAAACTAATTATATAGATAATTATAAATATACACATTATGTACAATTGTCTCTCCATACCCTTAAGGGATTAGTTCTAAGCACAGCCCACCCACCACTAACTTTACCCCCACAAGGACCAAAATTTATGAATGCTTAAGTCCCTTATATGTATTGGCATATAATCTACACATATCCTGTGCATACTTTAAATCATCTCTACATTACGTATCACAATTAATACAACAATAGAAGTTAGGCTTTACTGTTTAAACAATAAGGAAAGATAAATGTCTATTCATCTTTGTTACAGATGCAGGTTTTTTTCTAAATATTTTCAATCAGTGGTTGCTTGAATCCACAGATACAAAACTCAACAATAGAAAAGGTAGACTGTTTGTGTATGTGTGTGCATATGTATGTATGTATGTATGGTTCACACACAAATATAAACACACACACACACACACACACACACACACATACACACATTATATTAACTGCATAGAAGTGTTAACAGGGTTCCAAAAATGAATGGGCATTTTTTTAACTTGTCTATTAAAATACTTGAAGAAGCAATTAACTTCAAAAGTAGGATAATGGCTTTAATACATTCAAGTCAATGTATGTCAGAAAGCCTATTAACTTCTATATCAAGACAATCAAAAATAAAATACAGTTCAGCAGACAGCTAATTCTTATTAATAAGAAAACCTCATTAAAATACAATCATCCTTGTAGTGTGCTGTTTTTAAGTCCTTTAGGTATAGACCAAGGAGTGGGATAGCTGGGTCAAATGGTGGCTCCATCCCCAGTTTTCCAAGGATTCTCCATACTGCTCTTCAGATTGGCTGCACCAATTTGGAGTACCACCAGCAATGTAAGAGTGTGCCTTTCCCCCCACATCCTTGCCAACACTTACTATTGTTTGTATTCTTAATATCTGCCATTCATATTGGAGTGTGATGAAATCGTAGTTTTGATTTGCATTTCCCTAATTGCTAGAGATGTTGAACATTTTTTCATGTATTTGTTGACTGATTGTAGATATTCTGAGAAGTGTCTGTTCAATACTTGGCCCATTTATTAATTGGGTTATTTGGTTTTTGGTGTTAAAATTTTTGAGTTCTTTATATATCCTAGAGATTAATGCTCTATCTGATGTGCATGTGGTAAAAATTTGTTCCCAATTAGTAGGCTCTCTGTTCACCTCTCTGATTCTTACTTTTGCTGAGAAGAAGCTTTTTAGCTTGAGTCCATCCCATTTATTGATTCTTGATATTAATTCTTACACTATAGAAGTCTTATTAAGCAAGTTTGGACCTAATCGGACATGATGGAGATTTGAGTCTACTTTTTTTTTTTTTTTCCTAATAGACTCAGTGTCTCTGGTTTAATTCCTAGATCCTTGTCCACTTTGAATTGAGTTTTGTGCATGGTGAGAGACAGGTGTTTAATTTCATTTTGTTGCATATGGATTTCCAGTTTTCCCAGCACCATTTGTTAAAGAGGCTATATGTTTCCCATTGTACGTTTTTGGCAACTTTGTCAAATATAAAATAACTGTAATTATGTGGGTTAGTCTCTGTGTCCTCTATTCTGTACCACTGGTCTATAAGTTTTGTTGCCAACATCATGTTCTTTTTGTTACTATTGCTCTGTAGTATAGTTTAAGGTCTGGTATAGTGATGCCACCTGCTTCACTCTTCTTGCTAAGGATTGTTTTAGCTATTCTGGGTCTCTTATTTTTCCAGATGAATTTCATGACTGACTGCTTTTTCTATTTCTATGAGGAATGTCATTGGGATTTTGATTGGAATTGCATTAAATCTGTATAGTGGTTTTGGTATTATGATCATTTTGACAATATTAATTCTGCCTATCCAAGAACAAGGTAGATCTTTCCATCTTCTAAGGTCTTCTTTAATTTCTTTCTTTAGCATTCTGTAGTTTTCATTGTAGAAGACTTTCACCTCTTTCATTAAGTTGATTCCCAAGTATTTTATTTATTTATTTATTTTGATGCTATTGTAAATGGCATAGTTTTCCTTGTTTCCCTTTCAGAGGATTTGTCACTGATATATAGAAAGGCCTTTGATTTATGGGTGTTGATTTTGCATCCTGCTACATTGCTGAATTCTTTTACTAGTTCTAGAAGTTTTCTGGTGAAATTTTTTGGTCTTCTAGGTATAAAATCATATCATTGGCAAACAGTGCTAATTTGAGTTCTTCTTTACCTATCCATATCCCTTTAATTTCTTTAGTCTGTCTAGTTGCTCTGGCCAGTGTTTCAAGACAGCCACATCAATGTTTATAGCAGCACAATTCACAATAGCTAAACTGTGGAACCAAATTAGATATCCTTCAGTAGATGAATGGATAAAGAAAATGTAGTATATATACACAATGGAATATTAGTTCAGCAATAAAAATGAATAAAATCATGGCATTTGAAAGAAAATGGATGGAGCTGGAGAATATAAGTGAAATGAGCCAATCCCAAAAAAATCAAATGCCAAATGATTTAAGGATACTGATTCATAATATGCTGTGTGTGGGGGGGAGCATTAAATGAATTCTAGATAGGGGGCAAAGGGGAAAAGGGGAGGGAGAGGAAGAGAGGGGGTATAGGGGTAGGAAGATGGTGGAATGCGATGGTCATCATTACCCTAAGTACATATATGAAGACAGGAAGAATGTGACTCTACTTTGTGTATAATATATGGGATATATATATATATATATATATATATATATATAATATATTATAAATTATATATAAAATCATCCCTTATAAAATACATATTACCTATTAAAAAATTCCATTCCTCTAAAAGCAAGTATATGAACAACAACAAACCTGGATTAAAGAAGCATTCCTCAGAATTGTCATACTACAACACACTAAGGTGATATATGGGAGGAATCCAGAACCCTAGTCTTACACCAACAAAATAGATCTCTATAAAAAAAACTGTCTTTAAGTCACAAAAGAATCACGAAGCTGTAAAATGCATTCTTATTTAAACAGTGTTAATTAAATAGAAGGATTATCAATAGCTTCACATCATAGGCAAATAATAAATGAACAATCTTTCAGTTGTAAAATGCTGACCACAATGACAGCAAAAATGAAAATGGTATCAAACAGTGTTTTGCTATTTCCAACACAAATAATCTCTATTCAACTTGAAGAAAGTTTAACAGTTTAGTTATTACAAATCAAGCTTGTCATGTTGCTATTTGCAACACAAATAATCTCTACTCAACTTGAAGAAAGTGTAACAATTTAGCTATTACAAATCAAGCTTGTCAATTTGGCCATCTTAGCTTAAGATAAGCATTATAAATAGAACCTGCATGACTTAGAGATATACACCCAGGCAAAAGAACATGGGTATTAATTAATACTAAAAAAGTATTTATATACCAATTATATACTATATATAAACTTTCTCTGATAAATGCAGATGCTTACTCTTCTATCTTCCCTTCTCCCTAAACTTTTTCTATCTCTTCCCATTGCTTTAAAAAACAACCTATTCATGATACCTAAAGATTATTATACTCTTTTAGAAACCTCAGGCATATGAATTATTTTTGTTATTCATTAATCAATTATAATGTCACATCAAGTGAGTCTGTTTACTGGTTATGATTTACTGGCCTAAACCCAGATTATGAAACTCAATTTTTATTTCCTTTTATTCTATCCACTTTGGGTAATGTCAAACTACCCAGATGGTCAGTGGTTTGTACTTTCCCTGCATCAGTCAATGTTGCCCTGAAATAACCCATTCAAAAGCCTCCCAATAATCTTCCCCAAATTATCTTCTCTAAAGAATATATTCAAAGTCTTCTTCCCTTGAATTGTCACTATGCTCTGTGCTTACATTAAACTGATAATTATCTTTACAAATGATATATTTGAAACTGGGGGTAAATGTGCAAGAACACAAACTCTGGAAATAGATTTGAATACTTTCTGTGTGACTCTGTATGTTTTCCATGATTTCTCAAAGATTTAGATCCTTCATCTATAATTTGAGAATAATATCTCACTTTGTTAATGGAAATAATCAATGAGATGACACTTGTAAAAGTATCATCTATACAGTAAATTATTTTTGTTTTGTTACTGAACTGATCTAAAGTCCTCGCCCAAAGATATAACTCTGGAAGTAAATTATTTTCAAATAGGCAGCCCTCTTGAAAATTATCAAATCTCTAATAATTGGAGTTCTTTTATATACATAGAAGAAAATCAAGACATAAAAAATTGTAGAAGCAATGAATTAAATCTAAGATACATTAAAGTATAAGTGATCAATTCATTCCATAAAATATTTATTGAATACCTACTATGTGCTAGGCAGTTATCTAAAACTTGCAACAGTATATAATATGAATTAAGTCCTTCCTCTTATGAAACTTATCTTCTATTCATATGTGATAGGTTAGGAAGGAAAAAAAGCAGTATGTTAGTATTGGAGGAAAATGAGATAAGATAAAAAAATAGAAGAATAAGGGACTAAATAATGCTATTTTATACACAGTGGCAAGGAAGCCAAGATGTGTTAATTGCTCACATCATGGGAATCAGGAAGCAAAGAGGGTGGGGGCAGTGGCTGCACTGTGTTTCACCTGTTAAAGGTTCCACCATCTCTCAATGGCATCACAGACTGGCAACTAAGCCTTTTAATGCATGGGATTTTCAGGGGCATTCTAGATTCAACCTATAGCACTAAGTAAGGTTTTTAAATTATTTTAAATTAATTCTGCTAGTATATTAATCATTTTGGTCTCAATAAAGTACTTCTCCAAAATAAATGTAAAGTTGCAG